GGAGATGAAATGAAAAAATTCCTACCGCTGCGCAAGCCGATCCACAGGAATCGGCAGCGATATTTGTCTTAAAATCTTCTCATTTTTGTGTACTCACCTTGTAACGTAGTCTTAAGTGTATCGCAGGGAATTCCTGGCGCATAGGAGAGAGACACGGTACCTGAGTACCTAGTACCTAGTAGTGGGCGCAATCTCCACTGTTGGGGGAGGTACTATTTTTGTCACCCAGCAAAGCGGGTCCCTGATTGGGTGGGCCGCTGACAGTCTGCAACATCGACTAAGGGAGTTAGCGCTCGGGCGGGTGTCGTGCATCGGCGGCTATACAACTTGCCCACTGCACTGCATCACCCATCACGCTTCGTCCACAGCCAATCCTCAGATCACTTCTGCAGATTACTCTCCGTCCTGCAGAGTCCATTTGCCTCTTTCTATTCTTTTCACCCAGTCAGCGCTTCGTACGAACTGATCTATCTGCAGCAGATGTCGCCGAAAACCATGGATACTGGTCGACTCGCGATTCTGCACAGGCTCTGGCCGGAACAATGCGAAACAAGCTGTTTAGATCAAGGATAGCTCTTCGGAGGAAGCTTTCTCCTCCCTCCATCGATCACCTGAGGTGACGAAGCTTTTCCCACTGTCGTACATTTCTGAGCGCATCTGTTGATTTCTTCTGGCCTTCATCCTTGTACAGACTGGCTGGCTTGATGTGCCTTTCATGATTTTATGAATTCGTTGTTGGAGCTTGTCTCGCACACCTGTTTTGCTCTCTTGGCAATTGATCATTCACATTCTTTGAGTCACGGTAATTGTGGAAGATTTCTTTGCTTGTGTTAATGCTATTGTCGACATTATTTCATTGTTGCTTCTGACTCGCTGACCTCTGAAGACAATCGACTCTACCCTTTGTTCTTCTTTCAGAAAAGCCTTTCCCCCGTGTCAAAGAACCAAAGGAGAACACCTCTGCCAATTGAACAGATACAGCTCCTTCATATTAATTAGAGGTCCTTGCCTTGTCTGCAACTACTGAGTGGTCAGAACTTGCATCATCTACAGTTTAGTATCCCTACATACTTTGCAAATTAGCTGGGCCTACGAGTCAACTTTGCGGGCCATTACCATACGCAGTCCGGTGCCATGGCTTCTCGGAATCAGAAGCCACTGGCTGGACTGCTTATTCCTACTGCTCCAAGCTTTCCTCTCTCATCACCAATTACAGAAGAGGTTCCCAGCCCCATCCCATCATCGCCGGACGACCACGAATTGTGGCGGAATCGCCCTTTCGCTCTTCTGAGCAAAACGATCAGCAAGAATCCTTTCATTCGCAAGGCCACCTTTGATGATCAGATTCAAGGACAGGGTCATACCGGCCGCCTCTCTGGTGCAGGTGATATCGTACAAGGAGTAGTGCATATGGAGCAAGGAGCTGAGCAGAGCTCAAGCAGAAGTCGCGGATTGAACTTGGTCACAGATTTCTCCAAACCAAGTACGACTGTGCAGCACGAGGTGCCAGCACCAGTCTTCGTCGATTTGAACGACCTCAAAGCCCTCTCGCAGGTGCGAGAGCAAGAAAGAGCTACGAACAATACCTCGGGGACTGTAGAGTCAGGTGCACCACAGTCTTTCGGGGTTGCCGAGCAGAAGACGATAGGCAAGCACGAGCTGTCGCCTTCTGATAGACATATCATGATCGGGCTTCGAATGCCATTTCTTGGATCGAAGGACTCGCCTGAGGGAAGGTCAAGGGAAAGAGATAGGATGCGGTTCTCACATACTCCACTTACACCTTCAATTATTGTGACTCCTGCCAAGGAAGATACATTTTGGGACGGATTCGAGCCGGCTCATCCCCGTCCCAGAGCGACATCCAGCATCTACTCTCAACCTACGCCATACCCCGATTATGACGATCATGATATACCGCCAGTGCCGGCTATCCCAGCCTTTCATGTCCGTGCGGATAATGAGAAGGCCAGCCCTGATTCCCCTTCTATGAAATCTGTAATGTCATCAAGAAAACAGCGTGCTTTTTCAACCGGAACTATCTTTGAGGAAGATAGTCCCAAGCTCACAGGGCGACCAAGCTCGTTCTCAACTGAGAAGGTGAGGAAGATTCCGGATCGACTAAGCATCAATACCGAAGCTACCCGGCAGTCGCAAGGCTGGTGGACGTATCTCATGTCACCTCTCTTTCCCAAGACGCCAATCACTGCCGGAAGGCCTCCTGTGCCCAGCATCGCAACCCACTCCTCTAGACTGACGGACGAGTGGTGGGAGAAGGAAGTCTCATACTTTTCGCCCGACACCCCGGATGCCGTCACACATCCACTAGATAAGGCCAACTCCAGTCCATCAAATCCTAGTTCGGATGAAGCTGAGCGAAATATGCCATCCTTTGTGTTTCCTGGAGAGCCAATTCAGGGCTCTGCTGCCGAGTATTATCAGGCATGTGCCCACGAACTGTTTAGCGGGCGACCTTATTTCGAGTGCGTTAATCATATCTGTTCGATCACCCCAAAGGATAAGGTTGCGGCAATGATGGCTGAAGCGCCTGCGATGGCCACTCACGAGAAAGAGCTTCTCATTGACGTCGATGATATGCCTGGGACTGAGAAGAAACATCCATCTCGACACTCCGATGCGGACACTGGTCTGCGTTCCGTTGATGGGATTTCCACTGTGGCTAAAAGCAGACAGAACCCTTTCCGTGATTCCGATGAACACAGCATCCTAAGCGGTCCTACGTTGACTGGGTATCCTCAAAGTGAATATCCTTCCAGCGAGCATCCTTTAAGCAAGGACGCACCAAGCAAGGATACACCAAGTCAGCACCCACCTAGTGAGCGCTCTCCGAGTATCCGATCTCTAAAGCAGCAACCTCAAACACAGAGCCCGAAGGAAACCGCTGAAGAAGTTTCATCTACGCCGGAACCTCAAGAAGGGTCAAGCGCAGCACCGGCGGCCATCGCTGAGAGCCATGTTGAGAAGCAAGCCCCTTACCCTTTCTACCAGCCAATTATTCAGCCAATAATCCAACCAGCACAACCAGTCAGCCCGCCAGCTCCTGTGGTAGTCTCGCAGCCAATTCCCCAACCAACGAATACGGCACCACCGATAGTGCAGAACTTTTACAACCATCCCGCCGTTGTCCCTTCCGCCGTTCTTATAGCTCCGCCGGAACGAAGCTATTCGCAGTACATTGTACACCCTGCATCCAATCCTGCTCCACAGCCGCAGCCTCCGGAGCCTGTGTCGCCCGCTTTTCAACGAGTGACAGAAAGAGGATCAATACCCTTGAGCGATGTGCAGAACACACCGGCACCTGCCTATACCTCTTACCACCACAGCTCTAGCATTCTGCCCCCACGCATAGATCCACACCCGCTCACACGGGAGGAGGTGGACTCAACTACGGAAAGACAGAAGATTGAAACGAAACGACGAAGGCTAGAGAAGGAAGACGCTGTTGGCCGGAAATTAGGTGGATGCTGGCGTGGCAGAGGCCCGGTTAGCAAGAAAGGCTGTTTTAGCAGGTCGGGACGAGAAGGGAGAGTGAAGCGTCGGTGGTATTTGGCGATCTGCACTTCGTTCCTCATAATCGTCTTGCTCGCTCTCATTCTTGCCTTGACACTGACCAGGAAGGGAAATGCAACGCCGGTGCAATCCCAATGGCTGAACCTCACCGGCTATCCCCCTATGCCAACTGGCATTGCGACAATCGCTGGACCGAATCTTTACAAACGAGTCCCCGGCTGCATTGCCCCATCTTCACTCTGGAGTTGTGCCCTTCCAAAGGAGCAGCAGTCCGATAACAAGCCGTACACAGCCGATGAGCCCAACTTCCGCGTCGAGATCGATTTCCGCAACGGAACCTATCCAAACAGCACGACGATTGCCTCGCGATCATTATTCTCTGGCCGCTCCTCTGGTACGGATCCCTCACCATCCCCACCAAGCATGAAGGACCAAGCCTTTCTCGGGAACACCACGGACAAAAACAGCGCCCCCTACGCCGGCGAAGAGACCCCATTCTTCATGAGCTTTCTTTCAGCCGCCTCGACATCTTCCTCTTCATCCACCCGTCGACGACTCGCCCGCAAGAGAGATGACGCTTTTCCCGACCTCGACTCCCTTATTCCCTCACCCGACCTGAACTCCGACGGCACCGCCGCGGCCGCCGAGCTCTACCCCCTCTCGGAATCGCAACCCATTCGCCTCTACAACCGTGGACAAGCCACGGAACACTATGGATTCTACACCTACTTCGATCGCTCTATCTTCCTGTCTTCACTCGCTCCTCTGAATGGAAGTGGTATAGACGACGACGCAAACGACAGTGACGGCGGCTCAACCGAGGAGGAAGCCCGCGTGCGCTGCACCTGGGCGCAAACGCGCTTCCTTGTGCAGATCTGGACTCGATCAACGGATACATTGTTGCAGGCGTCATCAGCGTCCGCGTCCGCGTCCGCCACTCCGACTTCCTCCGCCTCGAGCGCTTCATCCACCTCTACCTCCTCCTCGTCCGCAACGGACTTCACCCGACCCGGTTCCTTCCCTTACCCCGTCACCATCACCCTGGACCGGCACGGTGGCGACGCGAAGAAGAAGATGGTGTATTGCTACGCGATGGAGGCGGACGAGAAGATGAATTCCACGCTCGTGAAATTGCAGGTTGAAGACCGGAGTTATGGTGGCCAATTGGTAAATCCAGCGCCGGGAATCTTTGACTTTGCGAGTAATTCGTCCTCGTCTTCGGCCAATGAGACGAGCTCGGTGTATGGCGGGGTTGATGGCGGTACGGGAGGGTGTTCGTGCCAGTGGGTGAATTGGCTTTCAACATCTTGAATGGGATGATATGGGAGGTAGACAAAACCCTACTCGGCTGCATACTGTATCTATGACCACTTGGTTTCATAATGAGATGACTCTACTAGAAGACTAAAATGAACTACAATCATATTTCTCCCTCGAGACTTCCTGGATGCGGTTTAATAATGCAGAATCGGGATTCGGTTTTGTGTGTATATGAACTGATGGAATTATTGTAGAGACTGTCCCTCCAAAACGCCCATTCCTCCTGTTTCCCCGATTAATTCCTTCTTTGATTTTGTTGTTCTTTTTCTCACATTCCCGATTCCCAAAAGAGAATGATTACCTGCTCAATAGGTCGATACATATGCAAGGCCCTCAAAGTGCAATCAAAAAGGCAAAGCAAACAAATCCAAACAAAGCAGATGAGCCAAGAAAACACAGACAAAAAATCCTCTCACAAAAGACACAATTGCCAACTGAGGCAAGCACCGTTACCCCCGCAAACAGGTCTATGCAGCAATGAGTGAATGGTCTCGGACAATCCGGCCTGTCCTCGACCCCAGGCCGTCCCCGGGGACTTCCAGACTAAGCCTAAGCCAGCACCAGCACCCCGACCACAATGCCCCCGACCAGCGACAGCGCCGAGGCGACCATCTTGGTGCTCCCGCTCGTGGTCAGACCATTCGTTGCGCTGGGGGCGGCCGGCGCGGCACCACCGCCCTCGCCGCCGCTGCCGCCGCCGCTGCCGCCATTACCGCTCCCGCCGTTCGAGCCGGAGCTCGTCGCCGAGTGCGTGGCCTTCGGGCTCGTGGTGTTGGTGAACCCGGCGCTGGGCGTCGTCACGGGGACGATGGACGGGGTCACGATCGCCGGCGGCGCCGTGGTCAAGGGGATGACGGGCACGCTGGCCGGCACGCTGGCCGGCACGCTGGCGTTGGCGGGGATGGGGAACGGGGGCACCACGACGACCGCGGGGACGGTCGATGCGGTCACGGCGGCGGGTTCCTCCGTCGCGGCGGGGGTCTCGGCCGTGCTGATGACGACGGCGGGCGCTTGCGTGGTGGGCTGTTGCTCGGTCTGCACGGGCACCGGGATGGGCTCGGTGGCGCCGCCCGGCGTGGTGGGGATGCTGACCGGGATGGTGGTTGGGGTGGTGATGGTGGTCTCGGGCTGCGTGGCGTTCTGGCGCGCGTGGATGATGCCGTGGCGCGCGTGGGCGGTGCCCGCTGCGAGGGCCAGGGCCGCTGCGAGATGGTTGGAGATGTGCATTGTGGTGTGCTTTCTTTGCTTTGGGAGGGGAGAGGGGAGAGGGGCCAGAAACAGCAGTGGCTTGACTGGGACAGGGAGTAGGATTGGGGCTGTTTTGCTTGAAGCAAAGATGAGGATGGGCGATGAACGATGAGGGAGGTGTGATGGGAGGGGTGGGTTGGGGAGGAACCTTTATAGCTTTTCCCTGTCGTTCGAATCCGGTAGGTTAGTCCTCTGGATTTTGGGCTGGCTGTTGTTGCTTTCGTTTTGGGGTTGTTTGTTTGAATCTACACATCCATCTTCAGTAGTGAAGTGACCTTGAGTATAGAGCTGGACGAAAGCCTATGGTTCGAAGCCAGATTCGACACAACACGGTACTGCATTCGGAGAAGCAAAACAGACAACGGGTCCGATGCAGAGACGTCTGATTGCTCCGGATCAGGTTCCATAGCTTGTCCACAGTGGTGGATCTTCTCGACTGGAGTCCTTCATGTCGAGAACAGCTGAGGTCATGTGACTTGGATCTTCGCTCAGCCCTATACTTGCCGAAGTGGGAGCCAGTTGCCGGAAACAGGGGCGCAAACTGGAATGCTGATCCATTCTTGGACTACTTTTAGAACCGCAAGTAAGCTTCTCAAGGTTAGTACTAAGGGGGGTTGGGGGACGATTGGGATAGTTAGTCAGCTCTCAGGCGCTCTTCGATACTTCCGCAAGTGATTATGTGGCGTTCACGGCTGTGTACGCATTCAACCAGCGCCTAAGCATTCGACAAATGAGTCCGGCTGGCCGCGTGTACAGTGTAGCTGGGCCATATGTTCGAGAGCATTGCTCAGAGAGTACTCGGGTGCGATGAACCGTATCAAAATCCTAGGCTAGGCTGCGTGTAGAAGCTGTGTCACTGCTAGTGAGTGAAGCTTGAGAATGGTTATTTGCGGAAAGACAGCATTTGCCCTCTGATATGGAGAGCTGACGACCATTATGGTACTGCTGTAAGAAAGATTTCATCATTTCTGCTCCAACCTGCTTGTCCCAGATCTCATTGGCAACGATCCAGTAGACAGTATGGGGTATGGGGTAGAGTCGAGCATTGAAGCTGAAGGGCGGGCGAACGAACCGTGGGATGATCCCTTTTCGGCACCGGCCCGGAGATCGCCCGAACTCCAATCGCTCTCCCTATCAATCAACTTATCGACTAATCGACTAATCACCATTCATTCAGTTCTCTTTCTTCTTTTCAAACTGTCCATCCCTGCTTCCCACGCCTGTGTCAACGCGTATCTTCTTCGCATCCGGCCCCATGCCAGCTATTATCCCCCATGCTTTCACGACGTAATAATCGCGACGCTTCCCTTCTTTCCCCCGGCGGCTACGACGAGGATGCCGAGTCGCTACGTTCCCCCTCAGAGCAGGACTCTGACTCCGAAGACGACGAATTCCTACGCCGATCTCGAACCACTCTCGAACTTGCAGAACACGACCGCACGGTTCTAGACGATGAAGAGGAGACCGAAAAGCTGTTGACCAGAAGCGGTCCGACGCATGGCCTCCGCCGCATTTTTAGCCCCAATAGCAGCAGTGTCCGGATTGGGAAGCAGGAACGCAGGCGACAAAGGAGGCAAGCCAGGAAGGATGCACGCAGAGGGCGTCTGGGGAACTCGCGGGAATCAGCCGAGATGCTGTTCGAGATGGAAGAGGGCCACCCGGACGATGAGAGCTCTCTCTTGAGTTCGTCCTCGTCGGATCTGGACCGTCGGCTCAAGGATTACACATCCGTCCCAGTATGCCGCCACGACAGGCCCACCCAGTGCAATTGCATATGATCTGTATTGTCGCTAACTAACTTACCTTGATTGCAACAGCCACCGCGTGTTTCATGGCGTCGCCTCCTGTTGATATTCTCCACCGTCCTGGTTCTCTTCTTCATACTCCTATTAGGAGCCTACAAGGCATCAACGAGATTTCGAGCCTCACATTCCTCGAAACGTTTCTTATCCAACGGCACCGCTCTATTTGCACCGACTACAATCCTGATCTCTCTCGATGGCTTTCGAGCGGACTTTTTGAACCGTGGCTTGACCCCGGCCCTCAACTCCTTGGTCGCGAACGGTGTCTCTCCGCAATACATGCTGCCCAGCTTTCCTAGCGTGACCTTCCCGAACCACTTCACCCTCGTGACGGGTCTATATCCCGAGAGTCATGGGATTGTTGGAAACACTTTCTGGGACCCTGAGATGGAGGATGAGTTCTACTACACCCATCCCAGCGTCAGCATGCAGCCTAAATGGTGGAATGCCGAGCCTCTCTGGATGACGGCTGAAAACCAGGGCGTGAGGGCTGCCATCCACATGTGGCCAGGTTCCGAGGCACATATCGGTGGTGTCGAGCCATCTTTTCTCGATCGCTATAATGGCTCCGAGGCACTTTCGCGAAAGGTCGACCGCATCCTAGGCCTGTTGGACCTCCCTGGCGTGGAGGACCAGACGCAAGCGTCCCGCCCGCAGTTCATTGCTGCTTACGTTCCCAATGTCGACGCCGACGGGCATCTGTACGGGCCTAATAGCACGGAGACGCGAGGCACCATAGCGAAGGTTGACTCCATGCTTGCTAGTCTTCTTACAGGCCTTCAAGATCGCAACTTGACTGAGATCGTCAATGTTGTGATTGTTTCTGACCATGGAATGGCCAGTACTGCTACCGAACGATTGGTGCAGCTGGAAGACTTGATTGATCTAAGCTTGGTCGCCCGCATTGATGGCTGGCCTTTGCGTGGGCTTCGCCCCAAGCGGCCGGAAGACCTTGCAGTTCTTCAGAATCAGCTCGAGAGCGTGGCATCCAACTTCTCTCATGCGCTGGAGGTTTACACGCGGGAGAACATGCCCGAACGATACCATTTCCAGAACAACGACCGTATTGCACCTCTTTGGGTGATCCCCAAGGCAGGTTGGGCAATTGTCGAACGGCCGGGTTTCGATGCTCAGCAGGCCTTGGAGAAAGGAGAGGTCTATCACCCGAAGGGGATTCATGGGTATGACCACGAGCACCCCTTAATGCGGGCGATCTTTATAGCTCGAGGCCCTGCGTTCCCCCATGAACCTAATAGCCGATTGGAAGCTTTCCGTAAGTACTCGAACGCTTCCGCACGCTTTCGCTGGTAGCTGACTCATTTAGAAAACATCAATGTCTACAACCTGATTTGTGACTCCCTTGGGGTGACGCCACACCCCAACAATGGAACTCTTCGTCTCCCTCTGAAGCCAGTGGGCCTACATTCTGACGAGGATTCACCGACCCTTGAGGATCCTTCTGATCCACCATCAGTCACGACCACCGTCGTCGAACCGATCAAGCCATCGACGACACCAACCACGACCTCATCCATGACTTCTGCCAGTCCCACGTCTTCGGCTGACATGGCTGTGGATACGCCACCGGAAACTAGCTCACAGAGCGAGGACGAAACGGGTCCAAACTGGTGGGGAACGTTGTGGGAGAAGATCGAAGAGGCCAAGGACTGGGCGACTGATGTGTTTGACACTGTCAAAGATAACTTTGTGACGGGGTCGTCCTAGATGATGATTCTTTTCCCTTTTTTTCCATTACGTCTATACCGACCTCTCAGTCAGTTTTGTTGGATGTTCTGGGGGCAGTACCACATACAGCATATATTAATTCGAGATACCCACAATTGATACTACATGCACCTAGAAATAAATGTTGACGATTTCCCGAAATGGGATCCCGACTGCAGGATGACATCATGTGCAAGACAATGCGGCTGAGCTGAGCCTCCTTCTTGTCTCTTTGTGGCGACCCTTTCCCTCCACTCTCACTGCAGCTTATGAGGCGCCACTGTCGGTGACTCAAGCCTCATTGCCGTCCATCCAGTCAATGTCCTGTCGGCTGGAGTTACACTGATTCGATGAACCAGGGTGCAGCACTGTGGTCTGGAACCAGTCGGCATCCCCTAGCTCGTGGCAGCCTGACACACTGCCATGCTGCCTAGCTGACTATAAGAGCAAGAGACAGCCATAAAGAGTGAATTGTTTTCAGCAAGGTCTCTCTCTCTCTTGTTACCTGCTTCACGGGCCTTTGTCTCTCTCGTTGAGCGCAGCTTTGCCTGCTGCCTGCGGCTCGGTCAAGCTTGAATACAAGGTACTGTACTTGGTTCAGCTTTGGACCTGAGGATCGATTCGATCGTAACACACATGTTATAATTTGTTCCTATAAATCCCCCCTGAATCCCTCTCGCGCATGCTTGGTTTCTGCAACGAGTCATCAACTGCGGCTCCTACACTCATCACCATGAATTCGACCACTCCAATCCCCAATCCCTCCGAAACCGCCAGCCTGGAGGGACTCATCCCCGGGTACGCGTTCATCTCGCGCCTCCTGTTATCATACCTCCATATCGATCTTTCTCTCTATGTCCCGTACATATTCACAGCCATTAGTATCTACTTTGCATCCGATCATATGTCCCACCATGTTCAGAGCCTGTTCCGGAGCCATTTCATGGCCTCAACTGAGGTCCGCATCTACGACGATGTCTACGTTTACCTCATGTTCTGGATTTCGCGGCACCGATGCATGCAGAACGCCAAGCACATCTATGCCAGCACCCAGCTCTCCGTCGATCGGTACTACTACAGCTCGGATGACTCGGGCGACGAATCGGACGAGGAGATCGATGAGGAAGAAATCGCAAGGAGCAGTTTTGACGAGTACTGGAACAAGATGATCACCCGGGACCGCACAAAGCGCCTACGCTTCACCCCGGCGCACGGAGTTCATCGCTTCCGGTACAAGAACCGCCTGATCTTTCTCAATCGCGTTCGCGACCGGTCCACCACCTCCTTGTACCTGCAAGACAACTCGGAACGCCTGATCATCTCGTGCTTCGGACGGGACACTACGCTCCTCAAGCAGCTGCTCGCGGATGCGCAGGCGGCGTATGTTGCACGCGACGGGAACAGCACGGTCATCTACCGTGGTCAGAAGGCGAACGGCCGTACCGACTGGATCCGTTGCATGGCGCGTGCGCCAAGGGCGCTCTCCACCGTCGTGCTGGACCAGACCCAGAAAGATGAGTTTGTCAACGACATCAAGGAATACCTCCATCCGCGGACCAGAAGATGGTACTCCAACCGCGGGATCCCGTACCGACGAGGCTATCTGCTGCACGGGCCCCCGGGGACGGGCAAGACGAGCCTGAGCTTCGCCGCTGCCGGGGTGCTGGGCGTGCCGCTGTACCTGTTGAATCTGAGCTCCAGAAGTCTGGACGAGGACGACCTCATGGGCCTCTTTCACCGACTGCCTCGGCGATGCATCGTTCTCTTGGAGGATGTCGACTGTGCGGGCATGACGCAGAAACGCGGGGCTGATGACCAGGACAAGGATACCATCACCGACACTGCTGCCTCTGCCCGGACGCCGAGAGACCCGGCGGGGGGTGGCCCTCCGGAGAAGCAGGGGATCTCGCTCTCCGGGCTGCTCAACGTCATTGACGGTGTGGCCGCCAGCGAGGGTCGCATTCTTATCATGACTACCAATCATCCGGAGAAGCTGGATGCGGCGCTGCTCCGTCCTGGACGCGTGGATATGAGCATCGGGTTTGGGTATGCGCAGAGCCACGATGTCGAGGAACTCTTTGCGTCCATCTACTCCATGCTGGAGGGTGATTTGCGTTCTGCGGAGACGGGTCGGAGCCTTGAGAAGACCAAGCACCCCATGGTCAACGCGGTAAACGCGGTACAGCCTGTGAATGGGAAGCCACCTCGTGTGATTGCTCCGGGGGATATCTCGAACTTGGCGCGACAGTTTGCACAACAAGTTCCCTCTGGCGAGTTTACTGCTGCAGAGGTTCAGGGATATCTTCTGAACTACAAGAACAACCCTCAAGAGGCGATTGATGGGGTGGAGCAGTGGCTGAAGAGCACGCGCGAGACACGCGAGATGCGTCTTGACAAGTTGCACTCAAGCAAGTAAAGCATGTGGTTGTATATGCTACAATGCTAGTGAAGTGACAAGATAAACAACCTGATCAATAATAGTACTCATTAATCATTTACAATACCCAAGTTTATTCTATTATTCCATTAGCTGGCTGATAGGCTTAGTAGTAGTAGTAGTAGTAGTAGTAGTAGTAGTAGTAGTAGTAGTAGTAGTAGTAGTAGTAGTAGTAGTATTAGTACAGAGATTATATTATATTTACGCTGGTTGGTTGGGTGAGAGGTGAAGGGGACGTCAAGGCCAATAAGTCGCTGCCCCCCCCCCCCGAAGGCGTAGGGAGACCTTGACACAGAGTAAGCAGACCATGCGGGAGATTTCAATTTGGCCGGGGAGCCTAAGCGTCAATGTTTAGCTGAATCTGGTATGGCGGCCCAGTAGTCGCAGCAGTAGGCAGGAAACTACACCTAATATGTGCATCGTGACAGCAATATCAATGGAGCTATCTTTGACAGGGACAGGAGTATTTAAATGCCTCAAATCGTGGGTTTCGGACGGATTCAGGGGTCTTCTATCACATACCCAGGATGTTGTTAACAGTACCCTACCTACCTGTGCCTGCTTGCTCTGGCTGCAACTTCGGCCGCACGTACAGCTTGCTTGGACGATATCTCTCATGATACAATCGCAATTTTCAGTGGTGCCGCTCTGGCATTCGGCTCCAATTATACGGATGCAGCGGACTGTGGCCTCAAGTGCTCGACTGTCGCTGCCTGTCAAACTCACTATTTAAGTGAATGGATCCCCCCCCTCCCGCCTACCCACTTTCCTCCTAATTTGGCCGTTGGACCTCCGGGCTACAACCATGGGCACATACTATCCCTCTCGTCGGCTTCTTGCTTTATTCCGTGACAATCCCATCGCTGACATGAATAACCAAATAATGCCACCCACCTTCGACAACAGTGGCTCGGGCCCCCTGCAAGTCCCGGGCTTCCATAGCATCTTCCTAGAGATGGAGCTCGCCATCGACGAACGCTTTGCGCACGGGACCCAAGAGGACCACAGCAGGCGGCCTGTCAGGCTCACTGCCCCAGAAGTCCAGATGTTGCGGCTCATGGAGCGCATCACGGAGCTTAAGAATTGGGAGCATGAGGTCTTCGATCCCGCGACGCTTGCAAAATGGCGCGCCCAGGCATCCGAGTACGCGCATCTTGATCCGCGAACGGATCAGGATATGGACATGGATCTCGTCACCACCCGATCCTGGCTCTGGTGCGTGGCGGAGCTTCAAGACAGGGCCAGATCGCTGCGTGAGACCGGCCATGTGGTGGTCTTCAATGCCGACTCGGGGGTGTGCAAGGCCGATCGTGTCGTGTCGGAGGCCCTGCGGCAGCAGCTCCAGGACGCGTTTCAGCACCTGCCACAGGGCGATGGGACTCACGATCTGGTGGACCCGTCACTCTACATGCTGATTTACGGTCAGACCAAGGTTCTCAGCCGTGGAGGTCGGGTTCCTCTGGCCACTGACGGCTCGATCTGGGATCCCCTCCCTGCCACCAATGTGGCGCAGACGGATGCTGTGCCGGATCATCCCCCGGGCGAGATTGTTCCGGCATTCAAACTGCCATACTATCTTAACGGGCGCTCGAGGCGTCGACAGTTCTCGTCTTGCTTTCAGTGGTTACCGTGCGAGGTGGAGTTTGCCAATTCCTCTGGGACGGCAGTCCGGATAACCTCATATATTAATAACCTCCACCCAGCAAATATACAGGCATATTCGGCGATTGAGAAACTAATCTCCCTAGCTATTCGGCCTTGGAACGACATCCTTGTAAAGGGTGTTCGCGGGCGCATGCCACGACGTATCCACACTTATGGGGTCACGAACCGGAAACTGCCCCCGATGAATGAAGAGCCCCCGGAAGAAGTGCTCCCGCGGGGATGGAGAGAAGACATCACCCAGCGCTCCTGGACACCAGAGGAATGGGAGCAATATTGTCTTCGGGTGACGGAGTTTCTGCAATATCCAGACGAGGACCCGAAATATCGAGTCTTTGAACCCGAGCCCGATGATCCCCCCCAGACCGAAAACCTGCTCGACTTGATGACGCCGGAAATGTGGGCGTCCCCCACCAGTGTAGAGCGGATTATCCGGGCCAAATGGAGGCGACTTAACTGGTTTCACTACCCTGAGCCAGGGATATCTTTTACGTACGAAGACTGGAAGCTGGGCAAAACCGCGAACCCAATTGTCGGTCCGTGGGAATCTGAGGATAAATGGTTTAAACCGCCGCGCGATCACGAATACTACCAGGTGTCGCTCGAGAACCAGTTCCGGGCCCAGGGACTGCAGATCATTGTGCGGGTATTCAGCATCGACCTGACGCCCGATGCGCCTCGTTATCCTGGGGAGGCCGAGTTTCACGTGGATGGTATGCTCAACGAACACATCGTCGCCACCGCAGCCTATTGCTATAGCGCGGAGAACCTCACTGAGTCTCGCATCTCCTACCAGCAGAACGACCACCTAAGTATTCAAGGCCACCAGGAGGATCCATATTGCATCTATAAGCTCTACGGTCTGCCGCCGTCCCCAGCAGCCGGCGTCGATCCAGGCACTTACAAGCTGCAAACCCTGGGGTCCGTGGCTGTGGTCACCGGCCGCTATCTCCTGTGGTCGAATACCCTGCGATATAAACGCCATCCCTTCTCCCTGCGCGACCCCAATCGCCCCGGCCACCAGCGCTGGGTCGTCCTGTGGCTGGTGGACCCGCACTATCGCATCTGCTCCACGAGAAATGTTCCCCCGCAGCAGCATGAGTGGTGGCGCGACGATGTACTGGCGAACCCGACTCTGCTCTCGACCCTTCCCCGAGAACTGGTCGATATGATCATGAAAGAAACCGGGCCATGGCCGATGAGCCATTCTGAAGCCCTGCGTCACAAACAAAAGTCGGATGAGGAGAGAGAGGAGGCGCTCCGCATCCAGATCGAGGAATTCCCAACATACGGGTTCTGGGATGAGCTGCTATGAGGCTCGACTGATCTTGTTCACCATATATGATGTCGTGCAGCAGCTCTTTGCAAGCCTAAGGAGCCTTTTGAGGTAGATGCTGGCCAACCCATCACTTTTAATCAACAGAAAAGGAAACAGAAGCAGACGAAAACAAAATTCAAAGGCCCCGTGATGAGATAAGAGAGATTAAACAAACAAACCATTATTGCCCCAGTAATCATCATCATCATCATCACCACCACCACCTCCATCAGTTATTATCAGCATAATCATCCTCATCATCATTACCATTATCATGAATACTCTACGACAAGGACTCTCACGCAGCCGCTCCTCCAGATTCTCCCATCCGATACAGCGCATACTGGCTAAGGTATACAGCTCGGGCACGGAATGCAGTCACCATGCCGATGCACTCGCGGCCGTCAATGGCTTGGAGGGCTTGCTTGCATGATAACAGCGATACCGTGGAGATTCCAATTAGCATCCAGTAGAGGAAAGTGGAGAGGTAAGTAAGTACAGTAACTACTTCTGTGCTGCCCCACGCTCCGGGCCGCTCAGGGAGCAAGAAAGCAGCGCAAATTCCGACCTTGGCTGTCAAAATCAAGTGCGAGATGGTTCGCGAGGCAGTCAGCCGAGGCTACTCCAGAAGAAAGAGAAGCCCCTCTCAATTTGCCCTTCTCCTCGTAACCCAACTTCACCATTTTTGTGCAGTGTCACACCCGATTCTACCCACCGTCCATCTCCCCTATGCTACCCTAGTTCACCGGCTGATAACTTTCCACTCGCCGAGCCCGATCGAAAGCGGCCGCGATCGACACACGACTTGCGGATAATTCCCCGCAGCTCCCCTCCCCCCAAATTCCTGAAATGCGGGGAGTGGATATTGATCCATTCACCCGGGTCCGCACATGGAAAAATCGGATTGGAAGATCTTATCTCACACGACTCCATCGTCTGTCCACGGGGTTTGCCCGATCCATGGTCAACTCAAGTCGATCCTCCACTCAAAGGAGGAAAAGCACCCTCCGATATGCCGGATGACCGTTTCCATACTTCGAATATCATTCAGAAAGGCGCAAAGCTGCTGGGCGCTCAGGTGATAAGGCATGGCGATCAGGCAAGGGACACAGCACCGATCCAGGGTCTACCGCCAACATCACTGGATCTGACGTCGACGGTGCAGAAAAGAAGGTTGTCATGCATCGTGAGTCAGCGGACTTGCGGTGTCCTTGAGGCTTTCTGTCTGGAAGGATCTGGATTGATATTGGTTGCTGTTTGCTGGCGACTGACTGCCCGAAATCTTGGCCGAGGAATGCTTGAATGTTTGAGGGCGGAAAAATTTGCCTCTTGACGAAGTCACCTTTTTGCGTTGCCAAGTCTTGGGAGACCATTTAGAGGTATGGACCACACTCCACAGGACAACAGCATCTGGATCAGCGCATCTTGGCCCGGCGGACCCGACGGTGTTAATTGCTGTTGGGCTTTTGAACCTGGCGCTGGTGGTGCACGAGTCAGGCACGAAATGCTGAAGCGGCGGCAGTGGCTGACCTTCCAAGCACGGCGCCTTGCGCCTATCACATACAAGACCACTGTCTGCACGGCACTGTGATTCCAGTCGGTTCAGCAATCATACTGGTTTCTTTTGGAACTTGCAAGATTGGAATTGTTGTGTCGATGCACCTCCAGTATATTCAGCACACACACACACACACACACAAGTTGAAGTGGTATGATCAACTTCCGTCCTACCCCTTGGTGGCTGTCCTTGCATTTTCACCCACTCCTCCCTCTCCTTCGACTGATGCTTTCTTATGGTTTGGCCAGAAGGTTCATACTTTGAGTTTAAATCCATCGACTTCCCTATAGCTGTGGACTAGTATCACGCTTGCGGGAATCATGGGGCTAGGTTGACACTAACTAGAATACAAACATGCGCTTCCTGTTTTCGGGAATTTCCATACCCCAACCAACACCCGCGCTTTGTTTCTGGTCCGCTCGCCCAGACCGACAAGTCGTCGATGAAACGTCAATTGCTCACCCCAGTGGCCGACTGCAGGTCGTGCGCACCGTTTGCTGTCGGTTCGAAAGGGCAGCCTTGCGGCAGTTGCACGGCGATCCTCTCGACCTACCAGCCCGGCAGTCCAGTCACAATCGATCGATCGATTTTGTGGTCAGTTGTGTTGCGCTACTGAGCTCAAGCATGGTCACTAGGCCTGTGGCCCGGTGAGGAGACGGCCGGGGATTTTGTCCCCACAGCCAGATAACTGTTGCCCCTAGACTGGAGCCATGTGTTGCATCCTGACCCCCGACCAAGAAACCCAATCCTGCTTGGTTCTTGAGACGCCCGGTCAAATGATTGATGAATTAGCTCATTATAGCTCAGTCCAGTATAGCCAACTAGAAGTCGTTAACGCAATGGATGGCCCGCCTCGATGCTGAGGATTTCTGCGATATAAAACGGCTCGGGTCCAGTCAATTCCGATGGTGTGCATCGTCTTCTGGTGACTTGCCTGACACTTGGAGTTCCTTCTAAACTGAGCCTGTCCATAATACAGTTGTCAATGCGACTTTCTCACGTCATGCGCTGGCCTCTAGGGCTTCTGCTGGCAGCGACAGCACCGGTTCTGGGTTCTCCTATCGCGCCTCGATCCGCAGGCCCATGGCTTGCCATTGATTCCGACTTCCCCGACCCAGGCTTCGTTCAAGGTGATGATGGGGCGTGGTACGCGTTTGGCACCAACGGTAACGGCAGGACCGTCCAGGTGGCCAGATCCCCTGACTTCGAGTCTTGGACTCTGCTGGATAAGGAAGCCATGCCTACCCTGGCTGGCTGGGAGACAGCCGTGGACCACTGGGCCCCAGATGTAGTACAGCGGGTATGCTCCAGACGTTTTTTTGTTTGCAGGCCGAAGCTGTTGTCAGGGAGGGAGGGGCACAGTAGATGGCCAGCCAGGCCCCCTTTCAGCTTCTACACTCTCTTAGCACCGAGCTAACAGGGAAACCAAAACAGAACGACGGCAAATTCGTCCTCTACTATTCCGGCGAAGCCAAAGACGACCTGCGCCACCACTGCGTCGGGGTCGCCGTCTCCGAAACCACCGACCCGACGGGGCCCTACATCCCCAACCCGACCCCGCTCTCCTGCCGACTGGACCAGGGCGGCTCCATCGACCCGTCGGGCTTCCTCGACCGCGACGGCAGCCGCTACGTGGTGTTCAAGGTGGACGGCAACAGCATCGGCAACGGCGGCGACTGCAACAACGGGATCGCGCCGCTCAAGCCCACGCCGATCCTGCTGCAGAGGGTCGCCGACGACGGGTTCACGCCCGTCGGCGACGCGGTCCAGATCCTCGACCGCGACGACACCGACGGCCCCTTGGTCGAGGCCCCGAACCTGATCCTGCACGGCGACACGTACTTCCTGTTCTACTCGACGCACTGCTACACGGACCCCAAGTACGATGTGCGCTGGGCGACGAGCCCGTCGATCACCGGCCCGTACACCAAGTCCGGCCGGCAGCTGTTCGCCTCGGGCCAGTGGAATCTGACGTCGCCGGGCGGCGGCACGGTGTGCGGGTGCGGGGATCGCATGCTGTTCCATGGGTTTTGTGGGGGGGATAGGCGGTGTACGTATGCGGCGAGGTTGGATATCCAGGGCGAGGATGTCGTTGTTTTGTAGGATGGGGGCTGGATGGGAGCGTGTTCGGAGTTGTATATGTTTATACGGGTTTATAGCTGGATATATCGCGGATTATATACTGTACCGGTACAGTCAGCGTAGCAACAGCGCGGTAATAGTAAGTAGAGTAGACGATCCCGGGGGTGCCCCCCGGACCCCCGTCTTTCTTCCCAGTAGTGGTTAGATATAAAGTGCACATATACAGGGGAAGACCCTAGCCCACAACCATAGATTCCTAATTCGTAACCTCATACCCTCATTACCCAGAACATCAAAACATCAAAACACCATCAACACCAACTACATAAATAGAGTATATACAAGATAAAGTATACCAAGTACCGTATCCCGGGGGTACCCCCCGGACCCCCGTCTTTTTTCCCAGGAGTAGTTGAACACAGAATAATACACCATAAATTTATAACCTCATAATTCATAACCTCATAACCCAAACACCATCAACACCAACCACATACATACACCACATATCATATACAAGATAAACTATACAACCCCGGATCCCGGGGGCCCCCCCCCCGGACCCCCATCATTTCCCCCCCCCCCCACCAGCAAAAACACAAACACAAAGAACCCTACACCCCCAAAACCCAATCCTCAAAAGCCACCGCCCCCTCCCGCCCCTCCACCACAGGCACAAACCCCAGCACCCCACTATACTGCACCACCAACTCGCGCCAATAGCACGCCTCCGCCGCGGGCGTCAGATACCGGTCCCGGAACGTCCGCACCGCCTCGTCGGCGATCCGCTCCGCCGCGTCCGGATGATCAATCAACCACTCCATTTTCCGGTCCAAATCCCCCCACCCCGCCTCCTCCACGAGCACATAGTTCGCCGCCGGATGCGGCGCCGCCACCAGCGCCGCGTGGTGCGCCTCCCGCCACGTCAGCGGGTGCGAGAGCACCACCGACCGGCAGTTGAGGAGGTACTTCCCGCGGCCCGAGAAGCTGCGCCCCTCCGTGTGCGCCAGGAACATGTAGGCGCAGTGCTCGTGCATCGGGACGAACGCCTCCGGCATGCCCCTAACATCAGAAGCAGAACCAGAAGCGGAGGAGGTGGAGTCCCAGTCCAGCGGGTGCACGCTGGCCCAGCTCTTCCCCTGGCTCGCTTTCAGGAGCGTCCCCCGCACGCCCGGGTTGGTCGCCGTGCTGCCGCGCCACAGCAGCTGCTTGCGCTTCTGCGGGAACGGCAGGCCGGATTCGAGGGCCGCGATGCGCTGGCGCAGGGCCGGGTACGGCCCGATCTGCACTTCCGGCCACGACCAGTACCCGAAGTCCGGCATGAGCCAGGTGTGGCGGTGGTGGGGCAGTTTGGTGTAGGACCAGATGGGCGGCGGGGGTGGTGGGCCGGCACCGGGGTTCTGGGGGTGGGGGGAGGGAGGGAGGTAGAAGTCTTCGGTGGTGAGGATGAATTCGAGCGGGGGGGGCGCGGTGGGCGAGGCGGCTAGGGCGCGGTGCAGCGCGTGTAGGGTCGCTTTGGCGCGGCTGAAGGTGAAGGGTTGTGGGGTGTAGGAGAGGATGTAGAGCTTTGCGTACGGGGGTGTGAGGTTAGTTTATTTGGGAGGGGTGGGTGTTTAGCTGGGGGGGGGAGGGGGAGGGGAGGATTGTTGGACGAGAGTGAGGACAAGGAAAAGAAGGGAGGGAACCTACCTGACCATCCGCAATCACCCCCCGCACCATCCCGTCCGCCATCTCGACCTGATCCAACTCCTCGAAGGTGATCGGGTTCTGTGCGCGGGTGGCCGTCGCGTTGTCGATCTCCACGAACAGCTTGGGGAACGCCGCGCGGCATTGCAGCGGCGTCAGGCCGTAGTTGTTGCCGTCGCGCGCCACCTGGAATTCCCAGTCGGTGGTGTTGCTGGCCGGAATTTCCACGTGCTGCGGGGGACAGCCCCCGGGTTGGAGAGACGTCTTCAGCGCATATTGGGCGACCGAGGTGGAGTACTGCGTGCCGAAGATAAGGAAGGTCGAGATGATCAGGGAGAGGACGGCGGCGGTGGCGAGGAGATGCGCTTTGGATATGGTGTACATCCTCAGTTCTAGTGGCGGGAGAGGCGCATTCCTCTTGGGAATTGTCGAATGCGAATGAAGCGCTGTGGTGTGAGGTTGAGACGTGAGACTGTAGATGTCAGTTTGAGACGATGCGATAAGCTCAATGTTGATAGCGCAGATCCCCTCATGATGCAATGGGGTTGTCATGGCAACCTTCGGTTTACTTGCACTACACTCAGTAACTACTCATACTACGGAGTAACATCAAGTCTACGTTCTCCAGACCAGATCTAAGCTTAAAGCCATAATTCCACATCCTACGTATATAATTACGACCGTACGTACCAACTACACTACCCAAAAGGAGGCCAGGAGGCGGTCGCTTCTATGTCGAAATAGTCTCAAGATGTATGTACATGGAGATCACAGGCGCCATCACGGCAAAGTTATTCAGGGGTATCTCAAAATCAATCAGGAAGGGTTGTCACGAGTCTAACGAAAGATGAACACCAGGCCTGCCAATCACTCAAAATGAGAAAGAAAAAGAGACGCAATGCATTACAAAATCGGAGGGGTGGGGACGGGGACAACCGAAAGTCCCTGGAGTCTTACGATCAAGAACCATTCGTCATCGCCCGCGCCCCAGCGTTGCTAAAGTAGCTTTCATCGATCTTCAAGATCCACTCCACCTTCTGCGCTTCCGTGCGGGCCGCAAACAGGAACGTGTTCTGTGACCCATACACCGCAAACACATGCCGGCCCCTCGACGCCCCACGGTCACCCGTCGTTCCTGGCCCGTCGAGAAGCCGTGCAAAATCGGGGGAATGGTCGACTCGCGAGTTGCGCAGGTTGATGGCATTGATCTCGTCCCCGTCCGGGACAGAGTGGACATGCAGGTAAGGTCGGCGAAGCTCAACAAACCGCCGCACCCACTGGCTGTTGGTATCATCCGGGGTAAGTAGGTAACCAGACTTCAAAGAAGATGGATTTTTCGGTAGAGTCTGGATGGTGGCCACAAATCGCGGCTTCAAGGATGCCTCGTCGGAAGTGGAGCTCGAATTCTCATCGTCGCTGGACGAAGGCTGCCGGATCCGAGAAGAGAAAGCCGCCCCGCCGGTAGGAGGCTCGGTGTTGCTCCGAACAAGGATTGCTTCAATCGGGTCGGTTCTCTTCGCCCAGAGATCGATGTATTTCTGGAGAAGTTTCGCATCGCGGTCCGCACCTTTCTGGCTCCGGAGAGGCGTGGAACGTCCACTGCGCATGGGCGATGCCACCAAGCTGTTAGCACTGAGAGCCCCCTTCGCAGCATACAACTCGGCGATGCGTCGCCGCCGTTTGCGCGCAGCAACATAGTCCCGCACAAGCGACACCTTGCGTGGAGACCACGTAGTCAGATACTCCTCGCCTTTGACATAATCATTCTGCGTGTTCATGCGCCACAGGTCTGCAGCCCGCTTGGCAGACACCGGCCGAACAACCAAGGAAAACATGCGAACAGTCGAGTGCACAATACGCGTGGAGTTGAAGAACTGTTTGAACATCGATTGCGGTCGGACATAGGTTCGACCCTGGATCTGGAGAGTCAAGTCAATCTCGAACGGCACTGGGTCCTGCAAGCGTGAAGATATCAGGTCCCACCTCAGGGTCACTTGAACGCGGTACTTATCCGCAGTGACCCGATCCAGAAGCAGAGACCCGTGCAAACTGGAGTCCCATTGGCCAATGATGGTGATATGAGAAGTTCCGTCTGCATTCTCTTTCACACCGGGCTCTTGGATGAACTTCAGTGGAACGTCGGGAGTCTGCAGGTCTTGATCGGGGATTTTACCCCAAGGGTCCAGCAGTCGCACGGACCCCACACGAATGTTGGTCAGATCATCCCAAGGCAGACTCTCAGTTGAGCTGTAGGTCAAGTTCGCCATGATACGACGCTGCAAACCCTGGTGTAGTTGGTATGTGCCTGCGTCAAGGCTGTTGCTTTGAACAACCTCAACCGGAAGGTATTCGCCGGATTCTGCCAACTCGAGGATCTGGACCCGTGCAAAAACATCGTGTCTCTCTTCGGAATAGAACTCTGTTTCGGCAATCCGTGGGGTTTTCCGTTTCTTGGGCGCCGGCTCGGCTGAGTCACGCATGTCGTCCCAGCTGAGAAGTTTATCGAGGTGCATCTGGGTCACACGCGCATAGACGCAAATCTTCAGAGCGGCGCTGCGGGGGCTGGACAATGGCAAGCTCATGCTGTGGACGCTCTCGAATCGCACCGGGGCTTCATCGAATCCACTAATCATCTGCGTCGTAGTGGCACCGCCCTCCTCGGAGATCCCAGGTACGACGAGCTGAGCGTGCACCTCCGAGCCTTCCCATTCGGCAAACCCAACCATATCCCGCATGACAACGTTGAACTTCAACGTAGACGACGGGGCCTGGGCCGAAGATGGCTCCAGAGACAGTCGGATAATGCCGATGACGTTCTGCGTATAAGGTGAGAAAACTTCGACGGAGAAGTCCTGGACTCGAGTTTCGAAGACAGCAGTGAGCGGAATGTCAGCGTCGCCGACAAGCGAGTACTGAGGCGAGCAGGGTTCGGAGAAGGGATTCTCTAACTTGAAATGCTGGATGTAGTCAGGACGGTCGATGTACTGGTGTAGCTGACGCATAGCCTGGACGCGGCGCTGGAGCTTCTCGATGGACCAGAGATGGATCACACATTGCTTAAAGTCGATAACCCGGACGGCTACGCATGGCTTCCTAGCATCGTCCAGAACGACGTCCTCGTCCCCGGAGATACCGTTCAGCACGAGGTCATAAGACGAGGCCATATTGTGCCCATGATCGATGATTGCAAACTGAAATACAGCATTCTTGTCCATGATCTGACTCATGACCTGAGCTTCTTTCAGTAGCGACGCGTATTGCAACACCTTCTCGGCCATGCGAACGTAGCTCTGCTGAGACCAGTGGCGGTAAACTGAGCGTGCAACTTCGAGTTCCCGGGCGTCGAGTTTGGCAAAGCCATTCTCATAGACTTTGGGTACCGGTTGGCCTAGATCCTTCATGTGGGACTCAAATGCTTCCTTTTGTTTCCTCAATTGTTCCTCGAATTCCTCTTTCGCTGTACGCAGGGCTTCCTCCATCCGGGTCTTTTCAGAGCGGAGGTCCTCAACGTCTTGGCCAGATGACGTCTCAGCATTTCTCAGTTTGTCTTGATATTCCTCTTTCTGCCGATCCAGCTGCCGCTGCATGTCCTGGCGCACAGATTGCAGAGTCGCATCGGCTCCACTCTGTGCGTCATCCTCATCGTTGGGACGAGGAGTCCCAGGCATCGTGATGGCAGTATCCAACGAGAAGTTGTCGATAGTACCGTTTGACATGTACTTGTCTCGTACCGGAAAAGAACTGAGCGAGTCAGAGTCCTCCTCGTTCTCCGCCAGGCCCCGGCGCGTGGCCCTGACCTTCTGCACATCCTCAAACAAGGCGTCCAGCTCATCATCAGGCATATGCGAGATGTGATCGGGCCCCAGTACAGCGCTGACGGCTTCACGACGAGCATAGAACCAATCGGATTCCCTGCTGGGCTGCGACGGCATCGGTGAATCGGCCCTACTCGAGTCACCGTCAATCTCCGACCCGGTTTTGCTCACATTGCGGTCATGGGTTTTGTTTGGCGCGGGTGAGCCAAGCTGGCTTGTGGTGACGGTATGGCGCAGCAGACTTTGCTCGACTCTTTCGGCACGGGCTTCTTGCGGATGGTTGAAGCGGAAGATGTGAAAGTCACCCAGAATAATTCGAAACCCACTTTTGAGGCGCTTGGGCTGATCGATGCGCAAGCCGTTCACCATAACGGCGGCGCCTTCAGTGGGGATGATGGTGACAATGTTGTCCACGTTCTCAAACTTACAGTGATCGGCCATGATCTTGGAGCCGTTCAGTCTGATTTCCACATGGCTGCCTTGATCCATATTGCCAACCATAGTGGTTCCTGGTTTGATGTTGTACACAAGGCACTCTGCGAGTAACGGATCGTCACTGAGATTGACCAAGTGAGGCATCTTCTTCGGTGTACTAAGGCCAATGAAGCCTTTCTCTATACTGATACCAAGCTCCTCCAAGGCTGTTTCGCGCTCCTTGTGGATCTGCTCGGTCTTGGCCATTTTCTCCTCCCACGTCTGGTTCAAGTCCTTATAAAGCTTCTCACTCTGATTCAATTGCTCCACAATCTCGGCTTTGCTGACTTTGGTAACTGAGCCATCCGCTTGATGGATCGAAACCATCTGCTTCTCTAGAGGCGTGTCTGGAGGATAAGATTCCTCAGGTGGAATTCCGTCAGCGCCAGCGAGGGTTCCAGCAGCCGCACCTGCCATTGCTGCTACGCCACCACCGAGCTTCGCTCTCAGCTGCGCTAATTCTTCCTTCAGTTCTCTGATCATCCGTGCGTTGGGGTCCTCGTTCACCACTGCGTGGTTCTTGATTCGCTTGGCCGAGTCGGCATACCGTAAAGTACTCAGAGTCTCGTCAAAGTTGATATCGGCAGGTGAGATCGCAGCAATCATCGCCGTCATGGAGTTACCTCCTAAAGAGTCCTTGAGCAGCCATGTGAGGATAGAATCACGATACGGAACCATTGACGCATTCTTCTTCTTTCCAGAAGCCACATCCGCCAGGGCAGCAATGACACGACCGAGGGTGGACAGCGATCGATTGATCTCAGCACCTTCCTTCAACCGCGCGCCGGTGGCTCCCGTCGAATTGGCTCTTTCCGAACCCGCAAGATCGACCAGACTGATTCGAGAGACCTTCTCGGTGTCCATTGAGGTTTCGGCATCGTGGCGCTTCTGCGTGAGGGTCAAGGTGAACACGGCGTGCGATCGACTGGAGGTTTCGTTCATGTTCGTTGCCGCCACCGTACGGGCCTTATTACCCTCGTCCATCAAGTTGTCGATTTCATCGAAGGAGCGCACGACCAGCTTGGCCAGGTCTTCCACGTATGGACCCGTGGACGGGTGCTCGCGGACCTTGAGGTTTCCCTTGTTCGAAGGGTTGAGCAGATCGCGGACTCGCTCGTTGTAGATTTCGAGATAGGACACTTCGACGGTACAGCTAAGGTTTTTGTCCTGCTGGATCGCAGA